CACATCAACTCCCAGTGCAGCATTCCTCAACCTCAGTCTCTACCCTGTAGGTGTCTGGGCCGGTACGTTTTATCAACCTCTTCACTTTTTTAAAAAAAAACACTTCCTTAAAAATATGTCTTAATTTGAACAAAGTACAACGTACTGGTGCCAGTTTTATCAGTTTGCTTGAAGACATGACAAAGGAGGCCACCTGCAGCTTAATCTGATTAGCGGGAGCTGATTAGCGGAGCTCAGACAGACTTTATCAAATGTGTTACGGTCAGGATGTAAAGTGCAGGGCAGTAAAACCTGGGCGACACCGACCGGCCTGCTTCCGCCTACCTGGGGCACAGTGGCCCCATCACAAAGACTTTATGGGCAGCCCCTGAAGGTGGAGCTCCCTATGTAGTGCCTTCAGTTGCCAGCTGCTCTTTTGTTTCCTTGATAAAGTGAGGTTAAAACAGGAAGGACGTTTGCCTCTTAACTCTTTGTGGTGCAACTTCAGAAGGTAGAGATGAACAATAAATAGTTCCTGAGTCAGCCCCAAGAGAACCACCAGTCTTAAAAGTTTGGAAGTGTTGGATCATTGGTTTTCACAGTTTCAACTGGACATTGAAACAAGGGGACATAGAAGGAGCCTCCCCAAAGGGTGGAAGAGCATTGTGAGCACTCTCGAGCATCTCCTGAGCAAAAGCACACAGCCAGCCAGTCCTTCACTTCCAGATGCAATGCTCTGATATGAAGAAAGAAAGAAGACCGCACATTAACAATAGCAATGCAACCTCTTATCTTCGTGACTGTGGTGTCAGAGCTTGGAAGCTTCTTTCTGTACTGCAACCCACACGTCTAGCTGTGGCTTCTCAGAGATCTAAGACAAAAATGCATCTGTCATGTCATCAAATATGGAAGTATGGATTGTTCCAGCTGATCATTCAACATAAAATAAACAGGAAAAGATGTGTAGGAAGGAGAAGAAACTATGGACTGAAAGGAATGGTTGTTGGAGGCTAGACACTGTCCATGATGGTATTTGACTTCTGGTAGGAGAGGACAATGACAGTAAGCGTGGAGAAGTACTTTTCCCAAGCTGCCTTGGTGTTAAAGGGTGTTTAGGTAGGCCACACATCTTGCCTGGGAAAAGCATGAGGAAATCTTATGCAAATGGAAGTGTACCCTGAAAAAGACATGGCGAAAGGAGTAAGAGTGTGGGTGTAAGCCCCAGTCTAAGTGCATAGATTGCACCTGTGCACATATTCTCAGGTATGGATACAGGTGATGTGCACAGGACTTTTATCACGTTGGCCAGGGATCACTGAATTAGTCAGTTTCACATTTTCCGCATTCACCTTCCTGTGAAATTTATGAAGCAGTTTTGCAAACAGAATTGCCAAAAATGAACTAGGAAAACAATCATAACAAAACTAAACCATACATAATTCTCATACATTTACATGGCCAGTATCTTCAAAAGATACAGGTTTTCTCAGTATGGAGAGCATGTACGTGATGTACATGAATCTTTTAAATATGAGAAGCCTGTCAGAAAGAGAGAGGTGGCAACCCTAATTCAGAACACAACCCTAATTCAGAACACAACCATGGCTAAATTAAGAGGAATTTAAAGTTCAGCTTTTAAGAGCTAAGCACTCCGAGGACTGGCAGACCTGTCATTTCCTCTTTCTTCACAAATGTCAAGATCTCAAGTTCCTTCCTTTGAATTTTTGAAGAAAACTGATTTTTTAAATTTTTATTTTTTGTGTGTGAAAAGCCAAACAAAACTCTCAGCTATCCCTATCTCTGGCACATCGGCTAAAAGACTCCTGTTTTCAATCAATGTTCAATCTGTATTTGTGGTCTCTGATTCATTAAAATACATACCTATAATATTTAAAATAAGAGAAAGCAATTAAAACATTACAAGACAGTTAAAACAGTATAAAGTAATAAGGTAAGTTACCTATACATTGTTTTTTATATTAATACAGTGGTGCCTCGCTTAACAGGTGCCCCGTTTAACGACGAATCCACATGGCGATGGCTTTTTTTCGATTGCTTTTGCGATCGCATTGCGATGTTGCCTATGGGGAAAAATCACTTTGCGATTTTTTCCCCATAGCTCCATTTTCCCCCAGCTGACCGGCGGGAGCTTCCGAAGTACCGCGGGGGACCCCTCCCCCACAGTCCTTCGGAAGCTCCCACCGCTGAGCTGGGTGAAAATGCCAGCGGTGGCTTCCAAAGGACCGCGGGGGAGGGTTCCC